CCCTCCAATCCATCTCCTCTTTGGCCTCCTTGTGAACCACGAGCTCCTTCCAATGCTGCAATTAACCTAGCATTCCCTTTTTCCTTTTGTTGGTCTCTCTTTCTATATATTACCCAAGCCTGGTCTAAAAGCTTTCCCAAATCTCTAGCATCTGCCCCTTGTAATTTCTGCAATTTCCTGCAAATGTCATCTGCGGATTGTCCAATAAATAAAGTGGTCAATTGATTCTTTCCTTCCTCTGATTCAGGATCCAGAGTTGTGTACTTCCGAGCAGCTTCTTTCAATCTATTTAAGAAATCGGTGGGAGGCTCCTTTCTATGCTGCTTAATCTCGTATAATTTTGACCAATTTATCACTTTTGGTATAGCATTTCTTATACCAAACAGAACCCACCTCTGATATTGTGTTAATAATAATTTCTGCCCATTATCATTAGGGTCCCAGCCAGGATCCACCAAGGGAAAATGATGCTCCAACTGTCCTTGTAATGTCCCTGCCGCTATTTGGGCTTCAACCTGAGTCCTTGCCATCTTACGAATCATCTCCCTCTCTGTACTATCAAACAATACTTGCATGATAACTTCGATATCTTTCCAATCTGGATCTTGAGTTTTTATCATTTCAAAGGCAGTAGCCACTTGATCAGAATCATCCCTATAACTACCGGCAGCTATTTTCCAATTGTTTAAATCTGTAATCGAAAAAGACACTTTCACTACAACCGGAACATCATGCCCTACTGCTTGTCTCAACGGAGCTTGCAACGCGGTTCCCTGTTGGTTACGAGTTCTCCTTGCTACCGGCGTGGCCCCTGCAGTGTCTCTCTCGAACTCATCGTCCAGTCCACCCTCTGCCTCAAAGGGTTCGAGTCCATGATCCTGAGGTCTTTGCCTCAACCCTGGAGCCACTAACATCTCTAAATTCTCTTCCTGCTCATTCTGGGCCAACTTCAAACATCTCTGTGCAATATTACATGCCGAACAACACCTATTTAACACTTTCCCTTTTTCTGTCTCTTGCTTATCCTTTTCCAATGCCAATACCAGAGGATCAGTTGGGGCCAAATTGATTCCACACTTCTTTTGCCACTCAGGATGCTGCCTTAATGTAAAGAACATATCAGCATACAATACCTCATCCCATTTTCCTTCTCTCCTTAGAAACAGCATTAGTTGTAACAGAGTATTATAATTCAAAGTACCATTCCTTGGCCACTTTTCTCCATCTTCTAGTTTATATAGTAGCCACCATTACTCTCTAAGACTCAATTTGGAGTTTTAGAAAGCAGGCATTCTTTATTGCGGCGCCAGGCACGCAGGGGATTGCTCCACCTAGTGTGCGCACCGAGCTGCTCAACTATAGGAGTTACGTACAATTAGAATATGCATATTCATTAGATTTCCGAGAAATGATTAACTTTTGCTTACACAAACTAGCTTATTTCAGCATAGCTTCCTTATCTATTCTACTCCAAGATACAAAGTTTCAAGGTCTTCTTTTGCCTACTGAATGTTTAGCTCATCTATTCACAGGGTACTTCTACTGAAGGTCTATAGCTTATCTAGAGCACATCAACCGTGGCTACATTACTCCAATAGAGAGAACCATATCAGTGTTATTTTATACTCGGTATCATGGAAGTGAATTTTTCAGCCTTTTCTGATGCCCGTGCTGTCATGGCAATATTTTCTGGGCTAGCTAATATACAGGTAATGAACACAGAACCTGTAGTCACTTAGAATGTCTGCAGTATAGACTTCTGCTTGTCTGTGGCTACAAAAATGTCAGGCCTTCCAGTAATGTTGAGCAGAATAACATCTATCCCTGAATCTGCCTGTTGGCTTATAAAACAAATCAAGTCTCTGAGGTTAAGAACAGACAGCAGGGCAGGAAACTGAGCATTTAGGAAGAACTGGTGTTTCACTTCATCTCTAGGTTCCCCAGGCAGTGGAGCAATGGCCAAGTAATAAGGACACAGGACTGAGAAGTAAGACACCTTGGTTCTATTTGCAGTTACACCACAGTGGGTATATGTAGCATTAGAGCAGCTTATGACACTTACACACCCTGTAGCTGAGGCTACAGGGCCAGTGACCTGGACACATGTGTAGCACAGAAAGTCTCCCATCCCTCGCTTCTCCTGCTCTCCTTAGGGAAGAGAAACATTTTTTCTCCTCCATCACAAGACATCCATGAAGTTCTACCTCCCTTTAGATCTCTCCCCAATATAGGGGTCACTTCTATGTTAAATTTTTTTTTAAGGTCATAAAATCCACTGATTTTAAAGTGTAACTGGTGTTGCTGCAAGCCTCTAAGCCATCTGTGACACTTTCATGCTTCTGTTAAGAGGATTTTTCCTCTAGTTATTCAGGGGAAAATGCTGCTGTCATTATTGTCAATAGCAAAACTTCTGTTGACTTGACAAGAGCAAGGATTTCTCCCTCAGTAAAATCTAAATAGCTCTACTGTGAAACTTACCATCTATGTGGTTAAACATTCTTTCGTGCAAAAGAACAATTCTGATGTACTTTTCTGCAATTTCACAATTTGGTAAATTTTATCTGCTGCAAGAGCACAACACTAACTACAGGAAAAATATATAAAGGAACAAACCCCTTTTATTTCAACAAGATAAGATTGCCTTACAGTGAATTAAATTTCAGCATAGTTGAGACATTATTTTCAATGTAATTGAAATGTAATTTTCAAAAGTAAATTATTATATACATGCAAGTGTTAAATTAATTTGCTTCATTGAGATAAGTGATTACAAAATAAAAACACTCAAAAAACAGGAAAATACTTCAAATCGACTGAGCGGATGCTTTGGGCATTATTTTTCTTGCCCATCCTCTAAGTTTGTTCAAGGGCTTCAAAACATGTTTTCTTGGTGCAACTTTTTCCTCTCTTGGTTGTTCTTCCTCTCCAAAGCCTACTGAAAGTGCTGAAAAGCTGCAATTTATGATTGCTTTTCTGTGACTTGGGCCACAAACCATCTCTGGAGAAGCTTGACCCTGCCTTTAGTGTGTGGGCTCCATGCAGCTTGTAAAATCAACTGCTTGGCAAGCAAGTGATTTACTGGGATAGGTGAAAGCTGAGCTGAATCTTAAGTGTCCTTGATAGTCACTCACTAATTAGCCTCTCTGTGGACTGTACTTCCACAAGAGGCATACTCAGCTCTGTGTAATCAACAGTATGCAAGTAGCAAGGTTATCAGGATCAGCCCATGCTGGAGAGGGCCGGTACCAAAATACGTTGGTCTCGTTCAGAACGTAAGAAGTCCTGTAGCTATGCTGATGTATGTGTGACCGACCACAAGGCGGTTAAAGGTCACTGTCCTTTGCATTTGACTTGAAGTCAGGTCCTTACCTGGAACATGACTGTGACAACAAACAACAAAGGTGGACTGGGCTTTAAGAGCTCGGTAGATAATTGTAATTTAGCATTTTTGGCAGATTTTTAGATGGACTCTAGTCCTTAACAGTACTCAACATTATGTCTAGCCAACCCGCATTTCTTGCACTGAGAGCAGCTGTGCACATGCATGTGTGAAATGTAGTCATCTTTCTTTCTTGGTGAAAGTGCCACAAGGAAATGGGAGGTAACCTGCAACAGCTTGAAAGTGGAGGGAAACTTCTGTGTACAGATATCAATCTTTAATATGTGGTTTAAAGAGAGTCATTTGGATAAATCCCTGTGGGAAGTACATCAAAGTTCTCAGCAGGCAAGAAAGATTGAGAGCTTGTCCTCAATGCATGCAGCTGTGTGGTTGATCTGTGTATCATTCTTCTAGCTGTAACTCCTTCTGCACCTTTCCTCTTAGTTGCTAGGAGGAGGAAGGAAAGATTCATAGGGTTTCAGGAACATCCAGTTCTGAGATCAAGGAGCTTTATCTTGCTAGATAATGAGTGCTGTCAGCTCCCACGGCCTTCCCTAAGAGTTGAGATTTGAACTCAACCTTCTGCAAGAAGGTTTAAACCTTATACTTTAGCTTTATGAGCTGGGAAGTGAACTTTCCCTTCTCAATCTCTTGACTGAGCACCCTGCAGCATTAATATATCATTTACAGCTGACTGGAACTTTCCTAACTGGAATTAGATATTTACTCTTCTGTTATAAAGGTGGTTTTTTATGTCATTGTTAGCACTTAATGTAACATTACTGTTTGTTCTGCTCTGTAGTTTTCTGAAAGCTGTAGTGGACTCACTTATCTTTAAAAAAAAAAAAAAAGGAAAATTAGGGTCATGCTGTCTTTGAGCAGTTTAAGCTGCAATAATCACAATTCAGGATTAATATTAAAATCAGAAGGAACTAAGTTGCTCTTTGGTCTAGCAAGATAGTTCTTCTAGTTAGTTGTTATTTTTTTGGTTGATTGAACAGTAAATGGTAAAAATATGACCACAGGTGCCTGTATTTTTTTTACTGCAAAAAACATATCACTTTATTCTGTTTTAAGCATGAATGAAGTATTGGAGTGCTTTGCTCACAATACAAAGTCATAAGAACTCTATACGGACAGCAAAATCCAGAGGCTTTAATGTCATTAAAAAGCATATCTTCATTATTCCTGTTTCCTTCAAAGTTAATATTGTTTTTCATAGACATAGCATGTGGGTAGGGGACAGAGAAGGGTAAAATCAGCCACAATAGGGCCATCCTAATGTTTCAGGTACTAAAGCAAACCAGGATTCTTATGTTTTTGGATTCAGCCTTTGCTGATTAAATTCTGGTGTGGAGAATTGCCATGTTTAGAATAACAAACAGCATACGTGTTCGTAATGGAAGCTTCTTAAACACGAGTCATACAATACTGATGAGTAAATTAGACTCTGCATTGGTTAAATGGAATTGAAGAAGTTAAAAAAAAAGCTATACACTTACATTGCCACTCTAATTCTCCATTTGTAGATGCAAAGTGATAGAAACTGAACTATCATTGTAAAAGGGATGACCATATTAACTGCCTTTTCTCCCCACTCTTGCAGAATGTAGACAAGTGGTCCTTTGATGTATTTGCACTAAATGATGCCAGTGGAGATCATGCACTGAAATTCATTTTCTATGAACTTCTCACACGCTATGATCTGATCAACCGTTTCAAGGTCAGTAGTTAGAAGATGGGTCTCTTCCTCCGTCTTGGATTTTGTTCAACTTCCCTCTCATCCTGCTTTGTTCCATTAAAAATGCAATTTTAGTGCTATTTGAAGGCTTCATGGACACTGCACTTTCCCCAGTAAGCAAGACCAAATGTTATTTAAGTAGTACTTTTAATTGCAATGGGACACCATGAAGTAGGTGGGGTTCCAAACAGGCTTCCCCATGAAATCCATGGGAAATATTACATTTGATCCTGTGGGAGCAATGGTGTCATTCTCCTGAGATTCATAGGACTCTCATGCGTGCAGGCAAAAAATGAGAGCTTGAATTCAAATTCAAATTTGTCAAAAGAAGCGTGGCCAGCAGGTCGAGGGAGGGGATTCTGCCCCTCTACTCCACTCTGGTGAGACCCCACCTGGAGTACTGCATCCAGCTCTGGAGTCCTCAGCACAAGAAAGACGTGGACCTGTTGGAGCAGGTCCAGAGGAGGGCCATGAGAATGATCAGAGGGATGAAACACCTCTCCTATGAGGAAAGGCTGAGAGAGTTGGGGTTGTTCAGCCTGGAGAAGAGAAGGCTCTGGGGAAACCTTTCAGTACTTAAAGGGGGCTTATAAGAAAGATGGCGGCAAATTTTTTAGTAAGGCTTGTTGCAATAGGACAAGGAGTAATGGTTTTAAACTAAAGGGGGGTAGATTTAGACTAGATAGAAGGAAGAAATTTTTTATGCTGAGGGTGGTGAAGCACTGGCACAGGTTGCCCAGAGAGGTGGTGGATGCCCCATCCCTGGAAACATTCCAGGTCAGGTTGGACGGGGCTCTGAGCAACCTGATCTAGTTGAATGCTCATTGCAGGGGGGTTGGACTAGATGACCTTTAGAGGTCCCTTCCAACCCAAACTATTCTATGATTCTATGATTGTTACAGAGGTTTGCAGATACAAATGCGGCATATCTTTTCCTCCAGCTTTGAACAGACTTAAATTTGGATGGCAGATTGCTCTCAGATCTTGACCATTCTCCCCACCCAAATACTCTGCTGTCCCTTCCTCCATTGACACTTCCACTCCCTGGGGGTTCCCACTCACTTTGGCTGGAAAGGGTTTGCAAATCTCTGGCCCTATAGTTCAGGAACCGCCCGTACCTGATGAAGAATGTTTGAAGGAGGTAACTGGTCAGAACTGCATCCTCCCCTGATACATACCCAAAAGGAGAACAACAGTGCTCCTCTAACTATGGAAATATGAGCGTTTAGGGTATTTGTCGTTTGAGTAGATGAAACTGGAGAGCCCATGTTGCCACTTGCATATGTTGCAGCTGACACCACCTGCGTAGTCTCCTCTCTAGAAATCCCCTGAACTGCATTTTGTTGAGTGTGCACAGTTCTACTCTTGGAGTCAGAAAAGCATGGCAAGCCCATAGGATGGGCAGGCTCGATTTCACCGTGAAAAGCCAGAGGTCTGATAGATGATACTCCTCTTAGTAGAGTATCTCAGACTTGCTATATGGTGTGTTTCATTAGAAAATCTTGAATGTGAATAGTAAAGCAGAAATATATTCCAGTGGGTTGTGAGGGGAAGAGAGACATGCTTGTGGCCTAATTAGAAATATTTCTCCAGGGGCAATCAGTAGCTCTCTGTTACTTTTCATACTCCATGTGTCTTCCAGATGGAATTTTGTAGTATACTTACTTGTGTGTGTTTATGTGCGGGAATGATTCATCCATAATGTAATTAGGAATGGGAAAACCAGTCTGAGGAAGTAACCTGGATTCACTCTCTCTCTTGAGTGCCTGTTTCAGATGTTTTAGCGTGTTATTTGTGAAGTACAAACTGCTCTTTGGGACCTCTTATCAAAATGCTCCCCTCCAAAGGCTAGCCATTAAAGGTGATTATTTTGTTTGTAATTCTGTGCTGCTTTCATCAGATCCCCATTTCTGCCCTGGTGTCCTTTGTGGAAGCTCTGGAGGTTGGCTACAGTAAACACAAAAATCCTTATCACAACCTAATGCACGCCGCAGATGTGACACAGACGGTCCATTACCTCCTTTTCAAGACAGGCGTAGCGGTAAGTACAGGAGATGGCATCCTGAATACATAATGAGATTACAACAGTTTTGGTTTATTAAGGAGATTATGATTATCCACAGCAGAACCCGTTTGCACTGTAGACAAACTTCATTTGATATGGCTGTACTAATGAAAGTAGGGATTTAGGATTATTTAGAAATAGGAGGTAAGTGAAGATATGGATAACTCTTTTAACAGTGATCTAAAAGAGGATGAATGAGAACTTTTAACAGGATCTGAAAGAGGATCAATGAGAAACCCAAGCTCGGTTTTTCACTCTGCCACAGATGTCCCAGGTGATTCTGCCAACTCACTTTTGTTGGAATTCATTTCAGCTAACGTGAAGAAGCAAATTGTCTAAGCTTTCTTCTTACTTAAGGGAGCAAGGCAGTACCTCCAAAGGACAATTCATTCCACTTAGCTGAGGATGACAAGAGCCATGCTCTGGATGGAGATGCTGATCTCCATCCAGTCTCTGCAGCAAAGCCAGCTGAACTGGCTTACATAGAAACCTACAGAGAGCTGAAGTCTGACAATAGTGACAGGAATGGCTAGAAGGCTTAAACAAAAATACTTAGCACACAATATGTTCCCGCAGTGGTTGTCAAGACAAACAACAGAGATATGTTTGAAGACGGACTAGAGAAATTGAAGGCAGACAGATTCCAGAGCGATGATCAGCCATTGCAGTTTGGGTTCAGCTGGCGGCTCAGAAAGTTGCTGGCCCAGTCAGTGGGGAGAACAAATGGCAGGGAAGGCTCAACGTGTACGGGATACGTATGTATCTCATTCTCTTCCTCCTCTTCCTCCTGGTTACTGCCACAGACAGAAAAGGGAACAAAATGACTTGTAGTCTGATCCCGTGTGGCAGCTCTTTTCCACCTGTTGTTTGCTTCACCTTTTCCCAGCGTCTCATTTGCCCTCGGCCCTTGCATTGGCAGAAGCTTAGAGGCAAAGGTGCCCGTGAAAGGGAGGTTCGTCTGTTCAACATTTTGCCCTGTTCTCTCTTGTTACACCGTGGCCATTCACTGGTTGCTGTCTTTGTGGCTGGTACTTGAATAGCTGCAGTTCTACTATATTGTGCTTCATTTCACTGAGGTCCCTTTGCTGACAACTGTGCAGAAGCAGGCAAGGTAAGCAGTTCCAGGTGGAGGGAGTCTTTGCGGTGCAGAGGACAGGCGTGAACCCAGATCAGCAGAGGTTGAGGCTCTTCCTGCAGCTCCTGCCTTCTTGAGCACTCCCCGATCATTGCAAGCTCCGTAACTGGGAACTGTTGAAGAAAAGGATGGGGGAAACCCACGGTTGCATGTGACTCGGCCCAGCCAAATCCCAGCACTGTTTCCGATGCCATGAGCACCTTAGATGGGCTGTACGAAATCACCATAAAAGTTGGCAGTCAGCATCACTCGTGGCAATACTTGTGTCTCCCACTGTGTGTTGATGACGCCTTGTTCTGCGCAGCTTGGTGAGAAACCTGAAGAAATGCTGCCGCCAGCGTGTGGTGTGTGATGGAGCACAGGACAGAGAGGTGCAAGCTAACAAGGTGTAGCGCAGCTCCTGCTATGTCTTTTAGGCCAGTTTCAACAGCTGTAGAGCTGCTTACGCTCGGGAACAACCTTTTGTGGACATGGTCTGCCTTTCTGCAGTCCCTTAATTGCCACAGCAATGTTGCTTTCAATGGTGAGGCCAGACCTGGAGGCTCTTCCCTGAGGAGTAACATGCTCCAGTGCCTCCTGTAAACATGCCCCGTGTCTCCTGTGTTGAATGTAGCGTGCAGCTGTGAATTGCAATGCTTACTAAAGACATACCTGGAAGGAGTCAGGCCCCGTCTGTCTCAAGCCCTGATCCAGACTGCCCGATTGTGATTGAAGTTGTGTCAGTGGCTCCTGATTGTGTCTGAAGCAAATAGGAGTTAGGTCAGATTTGCAACTAATACAGATGCCTACTCAAAACCTCCTGTGAGATCCTAAATTGGTCACTGCTGCTTTTAGGGCCATTAGTTAATGAAAATGCACGGAAGGCTCTAGTCAGTAAGTGTGTTGGGTAACGCGAATTGCATTATAATGGTGAGCAAATGGATCCCCTTTTTCTCCTCAAACCGTTGAAGAAGGGCAGCTTCCACTTGGGGCTACTCTGCTCCGGAGAGTGACTGGATGGAAACAGCTGCCCAAGTGCAGCAGCCCTCCTGCCTGTGTGTGTGTTCCGAACGGCCTTTTTCCACCTTGCTGCTTCTCGGTCTGTTGGCAATTTAGCTGCAACTCATCTGTGAATGAATGAGTGCTGTTTCATTCTAG